AACTCATTATATGAAACCACAGCCCCCTTGGTACCTAAACCTCACAAAGACCCAACAAAGAAAGAATTTCAGGCCAATCTCCCTTATGAACATTGATGCAAAAATACTCAACAAAATACTTGCAAACGGAATACATGAATACACCAAAGATATCCTTCACTGTGACCAAGTAGGCTTCTTCCCAGGTATGCAGGGGTTCAATATACAGAAATAAATCAATGTAATCCACGATATAAACAAACTAAAAGGAAAAAAACACATTATAATCTCATTAGATGCTGAAAAAGTGTTTGATAAAATCCAACACCCATTCATGTTTAAAGTCTTAGAGATCAGGGATTCAAAGCACTTACCTAAACATAGTAAAGGCAATATACAGCAAGTCTAAGCCAACATCAAACAAAACAGAGAGAAATTTGAATCAATCCCACTGAAATCAGGGACAAGGCAAGGCTGTCCACTCTTTCCATATCTCTTCAACATAGTTCTTGACGTCCTTGATAAATCCATAAGACAATTAAAGTAGATCAAGGGGATACAAATTGGAAAGGAAGAAGTCAAAGTATCACTATTTGCAGATGATATAATAGTATACATGAGTGACCTCAAAAATTATACCAGGAAACTCATTCAGCTGAAAAACACCTTCAGCAAAAAGGCTGGATACAAAATAAACTAAAAAAAAAAAAAAATCAGTAGCCCTCCTGTATACAAAAGACAAAAGGGCTGAGAAATAAATTAGGGGAACAACACCCTTCACAGTAGCCACAAAGGACATAAAGTAACATGGTGTGACACTAACCAAGCAAGTCAAAGACTTGTATGAAAAAAATTTCCAATCTCTGAAGAAAGAAATTGAAGAAGCTATCAGAAGATGGAAAGATCTCCCATGCTAATGGCTTGGCAGGCTTAACATAGTAAAAATGGCCATCTTACCAAAGATTATCTAAAGATTCAATGCAATTCCCATCAAATTACCAACACATTTATTTACAAAACTTCAAAGAAAAATTTTCAACTTCATATGGAATAACAAGAAACCCATAATCGCCAAAACGATCCTCTACAATAAGAGAGCCTCTGGAGGTATCTCCATCCCTGATCTCAAGCTGTACTATACCTCAATAGTTGTAAAAACTGCATGGTACTGGAATAGAAACCAACTGGTGGATCAATGGAATAGAATAGAAGTTCAGAAATAAACCCACACACATATGAACACCTGATATTTGACAAAGAATTCAAAACCATAAAATGGAAAAAAGATAGCATCTTCAACAAGTAATGCTGGTCTAACTGCATGTCTACATGTAGAAAATGCAAATAAATATATACTTATTACCATGCACAAAACTAAAGTTCAAGTGGATCAAAGACCTCAACATAAAACCAGTCACACTTAACCTGTTAGAAGAATAAGTGGGCAAGAGTCTTGAATTCACAATGTCACAATTTCCTGAAGAAAACACCAACAGCACAGGCTCTAAGATCAACAATCAATAAATGGGACCTCATGAAACTGAAAAGTGTCTGTAAAGCAAGGGAAACTATTGTTAGAACAAAACAACAGCCTACAGATTGGGAAAGGGTCTTCACCAACCCTATATCTGATATCGGAATATATAAATAACTCAAGAAGTTAAAAAACAACAAATCAAGTAATCCAATTAAAAATAGGGTACAGAGCTAAACATAGAATTATCGATAAAGGAATATCAAATGGCAGAGAAACACTTAAAGAAATGATCCACATCCTTAGTCAGCAGAGAAATGCAAATCAAAATAACCCTGAGATTTCACCTTACACCCATCAGAATGGCTAAGATTAAAAACTCAAGTGACAACACATGCTGGAGAGGATGTGGAGAAAGGGGAAGCCTGTTCTATTGCTGGTGGGTATGTAAACTTTTGCAACCACTTTGGAAATCAATCTGGCTCTTTTTTCAGACGATTAGGAATAGTACTACCTCAAGATGCAGCTATACCACTGTTAGGCATACAAAAGATGTTCAAGTATACAACAAGCACATTTGCTTAACAATGTTCTTAACAATACCTGATAAAACAGGAGCGGATGAATGGGGAGGAGGTTCCCCCTATCAGTGGACTTGGCAAGGGGCACGGTGGAGATGAGGGAGGGAGGGACTGGGAGGGAATGAGGGATCGGGACACGGCTGGGATACAGAGTTAATAAAATGTAACCGATAAGAAAAAAATAAAATTAAAAAAAAAAAGAAAGAAAAAACAACAATGTTCTTAACAGCTTTATTTGTAATAGCGAGAAGCTGGAAACAAAGCAGATGCCCTGCAGTTGAGGAATGGATACAGAAATTATGGTACATTTACACAATAGAATACTACTCATCAATTAAAAACATGGAAATCATGAAATTTGCAGGTAAATGGTGGGATCTAGAAAATATCATCCTGAGTGAGGTATCCCAGAAGGAGAAAGACACACAAGATATATACTCACAAGTGGATATTAGACTTATAATATAGGATAAGCATACTAAAATCTGTACACCTAAGGAAGCTAATCAAGAAGGAAGACTGGGTAAGATGCTCAGACCTCATTCAGAAAGGCAAATGGGATAGACATCAGAAGAGGAAGAAAACAAGGGATAGGACAGTAGCCTACCACAGAGGACTCTACCCAGCAAGGTATCAAAGCAGATGCTGAGAATCTTAGCCAAACTTTGGACAGAGTGCATGGAATCTTATGTAAGAAGGGGGAGATTGAAATTCCTAGAGCATAGGGAGCTCCACAAGTAGAACAACAGAACCAAAAAAATCTGGGCACAGGGGTCTTTTCTGAGACTGATACTCCACCTGAGGACCATGAATGGAGATAACCTAGAACCCCTGCACAGATGTAGCCCATGGCACCTCAGTCTTCAAGTGCACGTCCTAGTAAGGGAAACAGGGACTGTCTCTGACATGAACTCAGTGGCTGGCTCTTTCATCACCTCCCCCTGAGGGGGGAGCAGCCTTACCAGACCACAGAGGAAGACAATGCAGACAGTCCTGACAAAACTTGTATGCTAGGGTCAGATGGAAGGGGAGGAGAACTTCCCTTATCCTTGGACTGGGGAAGGGGCATGGGAAGAAAAGTGAGAATAATGGAGAGATTGGGAGAGGACAAGGGCAGGGGCTACAACTATTACGCAAAATAAATAAATTGTAATAAATAGAAAACATTAAAAGGAATATATTTTGTTTTTTAAATCTTTTTTGAGACTATGTCTCATGTAGTACAGGGTGGTTCTTACACTCTATGAGTTATAGATAGTATTATTTTACTTTTTATTGTTGTTTAGTGAATTTCACATCATGTACCCCAGTCCCCCTCATCTCCCCCTCCTCTTATACCTCTCATATCCTTGCAACCTCCTCTCCAACATAAAAAAAAGTCTCATTGTGGAAGTTGTACTTTGTACCAGTGTGTCCCACAGTTCACCCTTTTGTCTACACTTCTTTGCTTGTCAGTGTTCATTGCAGTGACTCACTGGTCTGGTATGAGGCTTCTGGTTTATGCTACTCTATCAATATTGGAATCCTACTGGGACTCTTCCCTGATATCCTGTTGTTGCCTTGAGTCACAGAGATCCTGTAGTTTGGGATCTGAAGGACCAGCCCCTTCATGCACTCCAGCAGTTCATCATCAATGGGATAGATGTTGGAATGGGCCAATTCAAATCCCTAGATCTGGGCCTGTGAGGTATCTGAACTGGTAAGTCTGCCAGCTCTCTCAATCTCATGCCCTTAGGCAGACTCATGAGCAACAGCTCTCTCCAAGCCTCCCGAAAATCAAGGCCAGCTCTAACTGCTGTCCAGGCAAGATGCAAGGCCCCCTCTCTTGATGATGAGGGACATGCCAGTTCTCCCACTCTCATGACCCTTGTACCCGCTCTGCCACCTACCATACATTGCAAGGGACTAAGGAGAGGAGCAGGATGTCTCTTCCTCATCACTGCTACTGCCCAACAGACAAGAGACATGGCTGGCTTTCCTGTGCTAATGCCCTCAGGGCCAGCTTACCTTCAACCCTCCCGTCCAGGGCCAACTCTACTATGGTCTGCTCTCCTTTTCTCATGACCTAGGGCCAGGTCTCCCACCTTTTTCACAAGTGATCAGGGGGAGGGATTATCTCTTTCTCTTATCATGTTACCACATGGGAGAAAAGTGGTAGGGCCAGTTTCTCACAGTGGATCACCCCCAACTCTAGAGTACTGCAGCTGCATAGGGATGGGGTCAGCTCTCCTGCTGTCATGCCTCCAGGGCCTGCTTTCCCATGATGCCCAGATTAGGGATTGTGCTAGTTCTGCACAGCCCTCAGACATCAACATGTCCATGGGCAGCAGCCCAGACCAGAGACATCCATCTGGCCATTGGTGGTAACATATCCCTGCTGCTGTAGGAAGAGGAGCCAGATATGGCTCCTGCAGCGACAGCACAGGCCTGGACCCCACCATGGAGCCAGGTAGCATCACCAGCTACTCACATCAGGCTGTTTCTTACTACCTTTGAGTCTACAGTGTTGCTTGTCTTCATTGTGCCCACATCGTTCTGTTTCTCTTAACTTCCATTTCTCTACCCCTTACTTATTCCTTAGTGGCATCCAGGGTTTCTGAGTGTTTAGTGTAGTCTCAGGAGTACTATGGCCTGCTCATGAATTATGGTGCTGAAAAGAAATTATCTTGGGCATGTTCTGCCCACAACCCCAGGCCTGCACAGCACTGGATTGGTAGTCATCTCTGGCTTACTCCTCATCCAGCCAGCCCAAGTGGCCCCATGTGAGGGTATTCTATCTCAGCCTCATTCCTGCCTGAGGCACAGTTCCCAGGCAGGATTTTTCTAGTCTCCAGCTTGCTCTCCATCCTGAGAGCCCACACTGGCCTGCCTGGGCCATGCTGATCGTTATCTCTGGCTTGCACTGTGTCTGGAACCCCTGGTACAGGACTGGTGGTCATCTCAGGTTCGATTTTTTTTTTTCAGGGAATGTTAGGCTACTGATCATTCAGGTGTTAATAGGTATGAATACTGAAATTAGACATAGCCTCTCTCCTCTCTGCCACCAAATAACGTACATGTGACACAGCAGCTACATCTGCAACATCCCTAGGTGCAGCTTATCTTAGTATTCTTTTAAAAAATATTTTGTTTATCAGTGTTCTTACTGCATGCACACCTGCATGCCAGAAAAGGGATCAGAATCCCGTGTAGATGGTTGTGAGCCACCATGCAGTTGTTGGGAATTGAACTCATGACCTCTGGAAGAGCAGACAGTGTTCTTAACCACTGAGTCATCTCTCCAACCCAATCTTAGTATTCTTAACACACGAAAATGCTGCTTTAATTAACTCAACTTTATATAATAAAACACATGACTTTTAGCTATATGTTTCAACTTTATACTAGAGAAATTGTGCCACACACACAAAAAAAAATAATTTAAAGATAGATAAGGTCAATAATAAATTTTAAGTGCAAATTAAAACATATATGGTATGCAATATTTGTTGTTGGGTAGTACTAAGAAATTCATTTTTTGTGAATGTACATAGGATTTCCCTTCAGTGGCAGATGAGTTGGAGGAGCATTCAGCAGGTTTGTGTTTAAGCCTCTTCAATAAGCCTTAGTTTAGTTGTTGGTTAAGTTTTTGTGACTCTGTTGTTGCACACTTAAGGGAAAGATTTGTTTTGGATTAAGGTTTCAGAATATTCATTCTCTAGTCACTTGGCCCCATGTGCTTAGGCTAGACAAAGAGATGAGATTGTGTGGTAGAGGAACATCTTCACTTCTTGGTGGCCAGGAAGCAGAAAGAATGCCTGCCGAACCTTGTAAATTCTTCTCCCCCCACTTTCCATCTGGGTACCAAGCCCATGGGAAGGAGCTGTTCCCACTCAAGGTGGATCTTCCTCTCTTAGTTAATCTTCCCTGTAAAACACTGATAGATACTGTGCCTTATTTTTGAGGTATTTCTCACTCCAATCAAGATGAACCCTCTCAGTTCCTAACAACGTTTGTAATTATTTGGACTCCTATCACTCTCCCTGTGAATACACTGGAAACTGGGAATGGTACAATGTCTTGACAAACCATTGCTATACATCCTTTCTTTTGACTCTGCTTTTCCATCCTCTCCCATTTATACCAATGGTATGAAGAATGTGGCTTTCAGCCAAACAGCAGCTTTGTTAGCAAAAGAATCTTGGGCTTTATTCAAGACCTACTAAGTCAGAATCTGAATTTTAACAAGGTCTCTAGGTGATTCGTCCGTCTGTACATTAAAATTTGAGAGGGACTTACCTAGACTAATTACAGCCTTTGAGTTAGTACTGTTTCTATTCTGACCTCTTCCAATATACCTTCTGCATTACAGCTAGGAAATTCTCTTCAATAAGCAATGCCTATATGTTTCACTATTTATAATCTCCCAGGAGCCCCCACTATAAGACTATAATATAGAAAGAGCAGAGGCTATAAATTAAAAATCAGGTCTTGACTGAAACACATTAGTTTTGTGGCCTAATGAAAGTAAAAATAGGATCTCATGTAGTCCAGGTTGGCCATGAAATTAGAATGTAGCCAACCAAGGCTGACATTGAACTCCTGATCCTCCCAAATTCCAAGATTATAAAAATGGGCCAGCCTGGTTTTGTGACTTTTAACAGCTAATACAAATATCTCAGCTTCTGCTTGCTCATTTATAAAATGTTGATTAAAATGCCTATCTCGTAAGTGTGAGATGATGATTAAATAAAGTCATATTTGCAGAAAATTTTCTAGATGGAAAGATAATATACTAATTTAATTAATATATATTTAATATATTATATATTCATTTGTTATGCATAGATTTCTATATATTATATAATTAATATACTATATTATAATACATTATATTATTTTAATATATATTAATAATATAGATTATTCAGTTGAAACAATCCATTGGGATGAAGACAGCATAAATGAGGCATACACAGAAATGTTGAAAGTCTGAAAATGGATATAACTCATAATCAATGTAGCAAGATGAATGCTTTCTGTCTTCTAAAACAAGGGCAAAATTGTTCAGAGAATTCCTGCTGAATGCTTTTGGGATCTTTATTCAGGAAGGAGACCATAAGAAGTCTATGTAGAGACCACCATGCCAAAGTCCTCCATTCAGATATTCCATTTCCATCAACCCATGAAGTGAAAGACAGAAGATGGAAGCTCTTTTGGCCTCCAGGCTAACCCATGTATCAGCCACTAACTAGCTGGTGCTGTAAGGCTCAGAGATACCCATTTCTTAGCTCCCCAGATTATGGGCTTTGATCAAACCTTGGTTTTATTTCCCTACATTTGGGAGATAGCTTAGTGTAATGCAGTCTCAGATGATTTCAAATGCAGTTCCCTCAGAAACATGTTGAAATTTAATCCCCATTGTTTGATAAGAACAAGTAGGACAAAGTAGACCTCTAAGAGGTACTCAGGACTCTGCCACTTGCATAGACTAACTCATTCCTGGATTAAAAGTATACTGTAAAATCAAGTTTTATTATGTACATATGAGCTTCATGGCTCTAATCATGCTGCCTTGGAAGTCTTCCAGCAAGAAAGCCATCATCTTCCAGCCTGGTGAAACAGACCCTATAATACCAATTACCCTGGAGGCTGAAGCAGGAGGATCCCAAGTTCAAAAACTGCCTAGACTTTGTTATAAGTCTAAACTCAAAATGAAACATTGATTTTCTTTAAAGAAAGAAAGTAAGGAAAGAATGAAGAAAAGAAGGAACCATGAATTAACTTGTGGGTATCATTCAAGCCAAGCCAGAGCACTTGCTGTCATTTGCAAGATCCTTGGTTCAGTCTCCAGCATGGCAAAATTAATTAATTAATTAATTAATTAATTAATTAATTAATTAATTAATTACCTAACAGAAGACAAAGAAGGAAGAAAGAATGAAGACTGCCACCAGCTACAAAGTTTTAACCTTAGACCAGAGCCAGGAGCTAAACTGAACCTTTTCTCTTTTAACTTACCTACTCTATATGTTATTGTGTTAACTACCCACAGAAAAGGAGGGATGGCAGTAACGCTCAGCAAGGTAGCATTTATTAAACCCTAAGCCAGATGCCCAAGGCCAACAAAAAAGAATTAGTAACAGAAAATAGAGACAAAGGCATGAAAACAACTGGCATATATTGATAGTTGACAAAGCTGAATGACTATACCTAAGTTTATGGTAACATTCTTCCTACTTATTCGTAGAAGTTTCTGTAATAAAAGAATGAAAACATAAAAATTTAAATGTAAAACAATTTAAAAAGAAAACCTATGCAAAGTACTAAGCCAAAATTATTAGCAGTCATCAATGAATAACTGCAATCCTAGTGAAATTATCCATCATTGGTACTTATCATTGTGGAACAAGTCAATTATACACTGAAGAGCACAACATTCAAATGCCTCCTGGGAATCTTGCTCCTTTTTCTTGTTTTAGTGTTTGTTCTTTTTTTTTAAAAAAAAATAAAAGGTGGCACCCTCTCTAAGATATCATCAAGAGAAGACATGAGAAGAGCTCCCCACCCCAATGGAGGTGAAAGGCCAGGAAGCAAGGGTAAGCTGATGGCCACTTGGAGCTTTCTGTGTATGCACCATCATTGGATACTATGAATCAACAATGGCCAGAAACTTCCATTGAGAAACCCTAGAAAACGATGTGTGTGATGCCTAATCAACAACTGAGTCAAAGAGAAAATAACAAATGGGGAAACTGGCCCCAGTGTAGCCACTTCACCAGACAGAAGAATCCTGAGAGCAAAGCACCTGTGTTAAGGCTGCTTCCATTCAGTTTTTTGTGGGCTCACAACACATCTTATGGCTTTTCTCCTACTTTTAGTTAACATCCACTTCAAATACAGGAATAATGTTACTGACAAAAATGCCAGGCACAGATAAAAGGTAAGAGAAACATTTAGTGATATCGGGGACTTTCTAGAAACTTTCTTTTTAAATTTTTTTTATTTCTTTTTTTATATATTTTGTCTGAACTTTAGTTTCCCTTCCCTTCCCACATCCTATCTGTGCAGATAGGTGCAGATCCACCTCCCCTCAGAAACAAATAGGCCTCCAAGGGACATCAACAAAATATGGCATAACAAGCTATAATAAGACCAGACACATACCATCACATCAAGCCTACATTAGCAACAAAGTAGGTGGAAAACAGTCCCACAAGGAGGCAAAAGAGTCATCAATTAGCCCTCTCTTCATAGTGAGGATTCCCACAAGAACAACAAGGTACTCAACCATAGCTTATATACAGAGGATCTAGGTCAGACCCGTACAGGCTCTCTGATCTCCCTGATTTCCCCATGAGTCCTGGTCAGTTGAATCTGTTTGTCATGTTCTTGTGGTGCCCCTTTGGTAAAAGTGGGCTCTGCTTCCTCAGATCCTTCCTCCCACTCCTCTGCAGGACTCCCAGAGCTCTGCCTAATATTTGGCTGTAGGACTCTGTATCTGCATCAGTTGCTGGATGGTCTCTGGTCTCTCTGATAATGATTCTTCTAGGCTCTGGTCCAAGTATACTCTGCAGGCAGGATAAACTGTAGGTCAAAGGTTTCATGGTGGGGTAAAACTGTAACCTGGGCTGGGCTGAAATCCACTCTTTTGCCCTGTCTGGACTCAAACTCTCAGTGATCTTCTTGACACAATTTCCCAAATATTGGGATTACTGAGCCACACATCCATTCTGTTTTTTTTTTTCCAAATTCCTCTATCACTAATTCACACATTCTAATCTTACAGATTCAAGAAATGACCAAAATACTTACTGTCCAGAATGCAACCTGTCATTTCATTCCTCTGTTGCTTTCGCTTTTCTGGAGCATTGCCCCTAGACCAGCTTCATGAATCAGCTCAGATTAACCCCACAGGGAGGCTGTTTCTGACACACAGAAATAGAATTTCTTCCATCTGTTGTTAGGCATTAGGACTAGCTTATTATTTTTCTGGGTGTGTTTATCTGATTTCCTTTACCGGACTGAAATTCTCACTCTCTTCAAGCTTACAGTGTAAAGAGAAGAGTCAGACAACTAAAAAATAAATCTGCAATTGAATTGTACTGTGATCACATCC